CCTGGCTCCAGCCAAGACGCAAAGGCCTCTCCAAATATCGGGTTCAGGAAGCAAAACCCAAAACTTTAGTGGTTTATTGAACATCTACTGTGCGTTCCACAGCACCCCCCAAGCCTTGGCCCCCGACTTCGGGAATTCTATAGCCGTCCTGAGCACGCCCATCTCAGCTGGAGTCACTAGGAAAGAGAACCTCAAGGAAGCATTTTTTTTCCACCCAGAAAAGAGAGAGTGATAGGCTCTCATCTTCCCACCATCTTAGCAGGCCGGACGGACACGATGCTACCATATTTAGGGGCTCTGTGAACTTGGCAAATCGCTCAGTTAACTGAACCTCGGCTAACTGATCTGAAAACTGGGGTTCAACCTAGAAACAATGAGACATGTATGGAAATGCCTCGAATAGCATACTGTAGTATAATATAGTGCATTAGTGAATACAGCATAGTGTAGTATAGTGCAGGATAGTGAAAGTGTAGTGCAGTAAAGTGTGGTATAGTGAAAGTATAGTTCAGTACAGTGAAGTGTAATGTGATGAAGTATAGCATAGTGTAGTGTAGTATAGTCAAGTGTAATATGGTGGAGTGGAGTATAGTGAAAGTATAGCACAGTGAAGTACAGTAAAAGTATAGTGTAGTGTAGGGTAGTGAAAATACATTATACTGTCAATGAATAGTAACTTTTCTTTTCTCCCTTCCCCCCCTTCCTTCTCTCCCTCCTTCCATCCATCGCCCTGGCGCCTACCTTACAGAGGTAAATTGACCCTAGCGCACCAAAGACTGGACGCATAGGGGCTGTCAAACAACAGAGAACTCAGGAGTGGCCTCAGGGAGCTTGCCAATGCTTGGCATCTCCAGAGGCCTTTTACCCTCTTCCTGTGATATATTTTTTCCTCAAGCCATTCACCCAGAACACAGCTGGATCCCTCGCACATGGACTGGCCCTCACGGAGCCTCAGAAAGGCCTGCAGACAGTTGCATCTCATGCATTCCTGCGAGCCTTCTAGACTCTGTGCTTATAAATTCCTGGTCAGCCCCTGGGCCGTGCAGCTGTCCTTCTCCGAACGCGGTAATCACAGAGCAAGGAGAAAGGCTAAAGAAAGCCCTGGGCAGGGCAGGGCTGAACCACACGAGTGCTGCTGTGAACATTTCAGGGAGCCTCAGGGAGCCGAGGAGAGGACCCGGAGGTGGGCGAGGCAGAAGGGACAGGCTGTCTCTCTCCCGCTGGCATCTCGGAGCAATTATGCCCTATTCACGGCTGACAGCGTAGCTCTGCCCTGCGAGTGTGAGCGGAGCCGGGGCGGCCCACAGATGCGCTCGGCCCACAAGTATGCGGTTGGCAGCTCCCGAACTTTCAGTGACTTGACGCCAGCTGACCTGATCAGCAATTACATTTTATTTTGGGGCCAGGGAGACAGCACAGAACCAGGAAAATTATAAGACATCAGAGTGCAGTTTTTCTAAGAATATCAACTATCCACTTTTTTTTTTAACCAATTGTTGTTTTTTTTTTTTTTTTTTTATATTTTTTTTTATTTCTAGGAGAGAGAGAGACAGCGTGAGCAGGGGAGGGTCAGAGAGAGAGGGAGTCACAGACTGAAACAGGCTCCAGGCTCTGAGCTGGCTGTCAGCACAGAGCCCGACGCGGGGCTCGAACCCACGAACCACGAGATCATGACCTAAGCGAAAGTCGGACGCTTAACCGACTAAGCCACCCAGGCGCCCCAACCAATTGTTGTTTTAACGGTTAGGAATTTGTGAGGCACTAAAATAAGAAAACCTTGGACACAAAACTCAGATGATGGCCAACTTTCCCAAGGGCACCTTGAAGTCTTTGTCCAGGAGAAATCTGGGCATGATTCTGCTGTTATTTTAGAGGGGAGATGGGTAATTCCCATGCTCAGGGGACGTTGCTGGTGACAGTGACCACAGCATGGACATCAATGGATTTGTACTTCATCCTGGGTTTATTAGCTTATTAACTGTGACCCTGTGCAAGTTGCATAGCCTTCTCGGCCTCCACTATCCCATATGTGAAATGGGGGTGTTATACCTAGTTTGGGGTTGATGATAAGCATTCAAGGGGCTGTTTATAAGCATCTAGATAACACCTGGTCTGCAGCACCAGTACGTGGTAATGACGCTGGTACCTTCTTCCTGTAACACTGGTTTCTTATCTACAATGAACGACGCCTATTTCCACCATTGTATATCAAACCCAAATACCCAGTTGGCATAAAACAGGGAAATGGCATCTCCAGGAGCAGTTTGGTTTCTAGGGTTTGTCATCCGTCTCTGTGATAACATCAGTCCAGGCTTAGCGACTTCAACAGCTTGGCTCCTACGGAAATGCGGGAAGCCACAACCGGGCTTCTTTGCCCAGTCGGGTGCAAAGTTTGTAAATGTCTTATGGACACAAAACTGAATTCAACGGGGGGGTCTGCTCGCTCCTCTCCTCTGAGCGCCCTGCCCACAGCAGCCCAACGCATGGCCAAGACAGCATCTCCGGGAAGCACCACTAGCTGGACGTGTGTGGGAATGGAACATAATTGCAGCTTGTAAAGGAAACCAGCCTAAGAAAAAACACCCCAGGGAACATGCCGAGGAAACAGGGAGATCTTCCTGCAGGGACGTTTTCCGGGTCACCGGAGAAGGGGGCCAGACAGCTTGCCCACGACATTCTTGCTGCAGGTGACTCACCCACCTCCGCCTTCACAAATGGCTCCCAGAGCTGCCTCTCCAGCCCCATCTTCCCTCCCAGGCCCTAGGCCATTGCTGAATGGGCTTCTCACCCAGACAAAACTCAAAATGCCACCAGAAGGAAGAGATGATCTCCACCCAGGAAGGTTCTCTCTCCTTTGGTGGGTTTCCGAAGGGCTAAGCAGGGTCTCCAGGTCCAGTCAGCTCGCTCACGTCAACCCCGGGACAGCGAGAGGAACCAGCTGTGGCAGGCTAACCACATGTGCCCGGCTCGCCCTTTAGTGCCCACACCTGGCACTCATGATCGTGGATGAAGAAATGAATGCGCATACGAGTGGATGAATCCAGGAATGAACAAACGTCACAGGAGGCAGAGAGCAAAATGTATCCTCTCATGCAAATCTGCAAGGCGGGTTCTGTTAGCACCGTGTTATCAACAAGGGACAGTGGTCTCGGGGGGAGAGGGGGTAGCGTATCCTGCGCCCACTCACGTAGCAAGGAAATGAAGAAACTAGGCTTTGAACCCACGCCTGACTTTGAGGTCGAGGCTTCCAGTATGGAAACCTCCCTCACGACCATAATGATGTATGGAAATGACCCTCATGACTATGGTAAATGATGAATGATGTTTACACAGCCCCTGACACATCAGAGTTCTTTTAACTTCCCCACATTCCCAAGAAGTGGACTCATCATGTACTCAAGTTGCACAACCAGTTGGAGGTAAGGTAGGGATTGGAACGCAGACTTTCATTTTTTTCAGACACAGATATTTGGGGGGCACCTTCCATAGGTCAGGCCCCGTGTTAGGGGCCGGGGATACAACAGTACACAGCGCAGACCCAGTCCATGCACTTCCGGTCCAGAGGGACGTCTACCTCAGGAATAAGCTGCTCCCAGGATCTTCTCAGGAAACCAGCAGAGCTTCAGCAGTTGTAGTTTCAAAGGGAAAACCATCCGAGAACAGAGCCAGTCAACAAAAAGGAATGGCTTGCATCTCAGTAGCGTGTGCGGTTTTCAACACCCCCAGAAATCCCATCCGTGGTCGGAGTCCGGTTCTGCCTCTTCCTAAGGACAGGTATGTGAACATGCCAGGAGACTGGCCTGTAATAATCAGATTATTATTTGGGCACCAAACAGAACCCAAATATCAAATTCCCTGCTGAGTCACCAGAGAACCCATTAAGGGAGCCTCAGGCAATCTGAGCTTGCAATGACCTAGCTAATCCAGCCTCCTCATTATCCAAGAACTCCAAAGCGGTGGGGCTGACGGGGGAGTGAATTCACCTGGTTAGGCCACCCAAGATGCAGCAACTCAGGAGTCCGTTCTTCCAGAAGGGAGTGCAAGTGAGAGACAAGGAAGACGTGCGGGATCAGAAAGTTCCCTTTGTGAGACTTCAGGGAATTCAGCACCTTTGAGGACCAGGCATTAATTATCTTCCTCTACCGAGCACCTTAGTCCACAGAAATACCGAATTAAGAATCGGATACAAAACAAAGCACAGAGGCTGTGGCTAAAGCAGTACATTTTTTCTTCTTTTCTCAACAGCAATCAAAGGTCAGATAACGGGCCACTAGTTGTTTACTTACAATTTCCTGGCATCAAGTGCTAATTAACGTTCCCGCACGAGAACCAGCCATACAGTCTCCACATCAAGACCCACACACACCGCTGAGGCCATCACCATGGCGACCGGACCTCGCCTCCCTTTGCTCCCAGCTTTCCACAAGACGCATTTCCTTGGTTGGGGCTTATTTCCCTCAGAGAGAAACTCTTCATAATCAAGCTCCGTTTACCTTAATGACAGTCACTTAATAAAAAGTCCCCCCCCTCCAAATTGAGTCTTGGTAAACTGGTGCAGTGAGATGGAATTCTTGGGGGCATCTTGGACTTTAATAAACTGACGTGGGAGCAGCGTGGCAGGTCCACGCACACGTGAACTTTCTTTGGGGGTGCTGAGGGGAAGCCCACCCAGCCCTGCGGGCTCTACAATTTCAGAGTCCCATTGCTGGCACCTGTGACTGTGAGGCTTCTGAGCAGAGCAGCTCTGTCTGAAAGCCCAGTCCAGCACGACACCAGGCCAGTTTGGGAATTCTTCACCCCTCTTGCTAGAATGTGAGAGCCACTGTACAGAGAAAGGGTGACCAAGAAAGCAACCGCTGAAGGTAAAATGCCAGGCAGCTGAAGGAGTTTCAAATCCCCCGAGAACCAAATTTTGAAGTTTATCATTCGCCCTCCCCTCCCCCGCCCCGCCATCGATGTATGGAGATCAAACAACAAGCAAGGAAGTTTCCAGGGCTTACCTGAGTTGGGTTGTACAGTTCTTGCAGGGGGCTTCGGGACCCCTTCCGGCAGCAGATGTCCACACCGAAGGGGTTCCTCCGCATGACTGAGGAGAGAAAGTGAAGGCTCATCAGAACTGAGCAACAGGCTTGTCTGACAAAGAAAAAAGCACAGAGGTGGGGGGAAAGGCAGCAGGTAGGAAAGGAAGAGAGAGAGAACCGGTTTCTGGCAAAGCCGTTGTTCCTTTATCCAGAGGCATGTCTGCCCCAGGATTCAGGCATCTCCACACCCAAAGGACATAAATAATGCTCAACCTTCTTCCCGGCGAGGGTTTAAGAAAAGGGGACGCACCTCTAAAACTCACTGAAATGAAGCTACTTACAAAAGGCAGCGGAAAGGTATTCTGAGACAGTGAGTTCTGGCAGCAACCAGGCTTGGGGAGAGATTGCAAACTCCACAGCCTTCTCCCTCAATGATCCATTACCACCTCTCACTCCTGGCCCCAGAGCCCCTGGCCCCGGTCTCCTGAGCAGGATGCAGGCCCTTCCCATAGAGGGCTCCTCTCTGGGCCAAGTCAGACGCCTGGTCACCCCATTTCCGTCTTATAAATTAGGCTATTTCTAATGAAAATATCAGGTCGAGGAAGAAAGGACACAGGCTTACGGTTCTAAACAGACAGAGGTGGACCTTAAAATTAATAAAAGAGGCAGAATTAAGAGAACTCCTCAAAAACCAATGGTGTGAGGACCCCAAGAACTTTTTGTTAAAGATTTTATCTTAAATGTGGGGCTCGAACTCACAACCCCGAGATCTAGAGTCACATGCTCCACCGACTGAGCCAGCCAGGCGCCTGCCCCAAGAACTATTTTTAAGGGGAAAAGAGCTTTCTTTTTTCATTCTTCCTGTTGCGGGCAGTCCCTTGCAAGGTCTAACACCTAGTCACCTGTTGATAATTATTTGTTGAGGGAGGGCAGCGTGTGGGGAGGGAGGAACGAATGAATGAGTGAGCACACGTTTTCTCTTCCCGCAGGAGGCAATTTTCTTTGTGGAATGACCTGGCTGGAGCATGGGAAAGACCAGGAAGCAGACCCATCCACAAGCTTAAAGAATTCACCCCTGTGTGCAGCAGTGAGAGCAGACAGCCTGCATTTGGATTCTGACTCTTCCACACACCAGCTGTGTGACCTTGGGCGAGGTCCCTAACCTTTCTGTGCCTGTGTTTCTTCCTCCTTAAAACGGGGATGAGGCTCTAAATCCCCGGATTGATTGTCTGTGAGGATCACACAAGCTACTACCATATGCAGAATGCGCTTAAACCAGGGTGCTGGCCGAAAAATGTTTCTTGCAAATTTCTGAAACGAATCAAAGGGTCAAGCGGATTTGCACACAACAGTTTATGACAAACGCCGCTTACCCCTGGGAGGGAAGGCGAGAACCTGTCTATTCTTGAGCCACCAAGCAAGCTGATGGCAAGTGAGTTCAAACCCAGGCCCCTCTGCCCAGAAGCCTCCCTAGGTCAGAGAAGGGAGGAAAGCCACCTCCACAAGTAGCCAATTACTTCTGGAAGGTCTGGAGATGAGCGGCTCTCTGCCTTGTCCCTCTGAGCCACGTGGACGCCCTCAGAGCAAACCATCGATTCCAGAAAACTGGAAGCTGTTTTCCGTCCCCTTCCCCTTTACCTCCCTCCTAGAGCAGGGTCGGCAAACTTTTCCCGTAAAGGGCAGGCAGCGCCTGGGCCCTGCGCCCCGGGTCTCGGCAGCAACTTCACGGCCACGGACAATACAGAACCGAGTGGGCGTGGCTGCGTGCCAAGGCCACCGGAAGTCCGCATAACCTTCACGTGTCAGGAAGTATTCCTCTTCTTTTGATATTTTTATTCAACCGTGTCACAGAAATGGGCGCTGGGCCGGCTCTGGACCCCTCTGCCCTGCAGAAAGCTCCCAGGTATTGCTGAGGTCGGCGGAACGCGCCCCCCACCCAGCTCTGAGCCCCACAGCCCTCTCGCGGGAGGCGATCTGCGGACGGGTGTCCCGCAGCATAAAAGCTGGTCAGTCCCGATTCGCGGGGTGCGGGCCCAACACTGCGCCTTTGTCCCTCCGCGGCTGCCTCGGCAAGAAGGGGGGAAAATCCACGCTGTGTTTTTCTTTAATTTATTGCTTCATTTTTCATTTTCACCCAAAACGAGGTAAACTGTTAAATGCACGCAGGTTGCCCTCCGTGCACAGGGACATAGCAACACTTTGGAAGAGAGAAAAACAGCCATAAAACTTGTAAAATTATGCTCACGCCGTGCGAGATTAACCTCTCCCCATGGCGGCAGACAGGCTCCCCGAGTCGGGGCCACGGCGGAAGCCCTGCCGGGGAGGCCATTAAAAGCCAGCTTTTATGGGGGGCTGTATTATTTAATTGGTTTATTTTTCTAATACAAGGCCTTTAAAACGCTTTGACTGTGTGGGGCCCTTTCCCAAGGCTGTCTGCCCTCGGTGCTTCGCTAGCCCTGGCCACGCAGGCTTCGTGGGCCACCACATGACCCAGCTCAGGCACTCCAGGTCACCAAAGCCGAGGGCCTTCGTGTGCCTTTATGAGTGACAACAATCTTACTGTTTATGGACTGAGTGCTCATTGCGTGCTGGGCACTGGGTTTAGAGTAATCCTTCCCACAGCGAAGGAAGTACTAACCTCTCCGGAGCCTCTCTTAACTTCAACTTGACCAAGGTCAAGACTTGACCAAGGTAATCCTGCCAAGACAAACCTGACTGCTAGGCTCTTCACATCCAAATGATAACAGGAGCCAGGAGACGTGCCTGGGAGTCGAAGGAAGGGTCAGCAGTTACGCTCAGCAGTATTAAGTATGCCCATCCAATTTAGGAACGGTGGCACCAGAGAGGCTGAGCGACTGACACAGATGGTGGCAGCCACAGTTTAGACAGCGCTCACGGTGCGCCGAGCAGTTCACACATTAAATCTGCACCATAGTCCCACGGGCTGGGTACCATCGCCGCCCCTACTTTATGGGTAGGAATACTGAGGCACTGCAGGGGCACATAACTCGCCCAGGTGGAAGAGGTAAAGACTGGATTCTGACACTGGCAGCCCATACGCTCAGCGGCTGCCACGCTGGACCGATGGTCAAGTGCCAAGTTTGCTCCTGGCCGGGCCCACAACTGGGCTGGCTGCACACTCCTAGGGCAGGTGATCTAAAATGTAATCTAGCATTAGAGGAGCCATTGCAGTGATGTGATCCAAGAGCCAGACTATTCAGACTATTGACTAACAGTTATTATTACACTCCACTCAACACACTTTGCTCATGTACCTGCATATGGTATGCCGGGCACGGCATGGTGGTAGAGGCCCTCTCCATCTCGTTCACGTTTTCCCCTGGTGCTTGGCACACAGTAGGTACTCAAAAAAATAACTTAAAAATGAGCTAGGATTTAGGGCTTCCTTTTTTTTAATGTTTATTTTTTATTTTGAGAGAAAGAAAGAGACAGTGAGCAAGCAAGTGAGAGAGGGAGAGGGAGAATCCCAAGCAGGCTCCATGCTGTCAGCGCAGAGCCTGACGTAGGGCTCAATCCCAGATCCCATGACTGTGAGACCATGACCTGAGATGAAATCAAGACGCTTAACCAACTGAGCCACCCAGGTGACTCGTAAGGCTTCCTTTACAGACTGTTTTCTGCTCTACAAGGAAAAAACCACCAGTAGCATCAATTTTTTTTTTTTTTAAATAAAAGGTCGGTTGATCAAAAGCCCAATGAAAGAAACCCCCAAGGACATTTAACAATGGCCTTTGACCATCCACCCGCCACAGGTTTTATTTAGCTAGAACACTTGCTTTTTTTCCTTTCTAAACTCCAATCAATGACATTCAAAACTGTTTTGTAAGAATCTAATTGGTTCCATTTACGCCATAATTTCTTGGACCCAGGACATATTCCAAGGTACATAAATAAAGCTAACAACAGAATCATGCTCCCGTGTTTATTTTTCTATGGTGAAGAGCACATTGTTCTCAAGTGGACACTCCACTCATGGTAAAGTGACAGCAGGTGACAGAAAGGTGGCTCACAACAAAGGCACAGAGCCCCCTCATCCCTCGAGTGGCCCCCTCTGACCTTGCCTGTGTTTAGGGGGTGGAAGGGAGCTGCTGGATTGTTAGTTCAGGTCTGAGGACATAAAACTAGAAGGCAGTGGGGCCCTCGGTGAGAACTCATTTTTGATCCATTTCAGAAAACTGGAGACATGTGGGTTGCCCAGGGATTATAGTCAAGCTCCATCAGTTTACAGAAAAAACTCAGAGTTCACACACTTGCCTAAGCTCCCCAGGGTAGCTAGCAGCAGAGTCGGGGCTGGAAGTCAGGTCTTAAAAAGTACAGCAAGAGTTAATAATAATAATCATGACACTACTTATTGAGAATTTATCATGTGCCTGATGCCTGACACCATAAGGCTTTTTCCGACATCGCTTCATTTACTTGTAAAAATCTTAGAAGTTAGAAATAATGAATGATAATATCATTCATTCCCATTTTACAGCTGAGGCAACTGAAGCCCAGAGAGGTTAAGTAACTTGCCCAAGATCACACAGCCAGAAAATGGCACAACACATGGCAAATTCAGACCCTGCTTCCAGAAATGGCGGTCTTCTCCACCTTACCACACTTCTGTCAGGACGGCAGACAACGCCCATACACGTGGAGCGCCATGGCAGAATCTGTGCTCGCGCTCCCCTCAATGTCCACTCAGGTCCACACGAGTCTCCACTCCTTCCCATGGACAAAACAGCCCCAACACCCAACTGACTGCACCTTCCAAATCTGGCGTTGCTCAGAGCCTGGGCACAATCTCTCGTCTACACCACGCTCAGAGGGTGCAGAGCAGCAACGCGGTTACAGACCTGTCTTCTCCAAATGCACGAGTTCATACTGTGTCTGAGTGAGTACCATCCAGCCCATCCATCAAGACGATGCTGGAACAGGGCCGTGTCTAGGTCAACAGACACAGAGAAGTGAGGGTGACACCCAGTAATGTTGGAGGGAGCCATCCTTACATAAAGACGGGCCATCTGCTTTGTGACGGCAGGACCCACAGCCTGCCCTGAAA